TATTAATATATAGGGTTGTCAAAAAAACAGAAATTTTGTTTTCGATCATTACACTTCATTATTAAACTAATTCCATTGATTTTGAGCTTGTTTGAAAGAGAACTGATCAACAGAGAAAGTCAACTCCATATTTATTAATTGTTTTTCAACAACGAAATGGCGGGAACACCTGAACTTGGCCGAACTTAAAACCTTTCAGGAACTATTTTGAGTCGCATTTTATATTTTTGCATACGATATTCTGAGAGCGTGTACTCAGGATAAAGACAAGTGTTTCCTCTTGATTCCTATTTTTTGGGTAATTTTGCATCAAAATCATGTAGTATGAATGAGAAGTCTTATTTTGATTCCCACAATATGTCCTTGAAACATTTAGATCGAATTTTAAATCAACCCATATAACAAATATCGCTTGTCTTCGGAGGGTTCATATTCGCGGTGATTTTTATCAAAATTTCAATATTGAGAGGATACAAATTGAATTGGATTTCACAACAATTTCCTGCCATGCGACTTTTCTTACTGTGGGATGATTCGCAGGCCAGTATCCACAGAAATGGAAGAACTTGAAGCCCATGGGGAGCATACATATAAATTTGATCTTCTCAAACGGTTATTTTTTTACGTTAAATTAAATAAAGTTCTTCTTCATAATTTTCGGGCATATCTGAAACAGTGAAGATATAACCTTTGTTTTTATATGCTATATTTCAAACAGAAAATACAGTCAAACAAACCAACGTAAAAAAATCAGTATCAGATGACTTGGAGGTTACCTCCTACCCCAGTGTATGAGATTATAAAAACTCTATTTTTGTAAATCATCGTTATCTATCCCAACGTTGAATTCCAGATTCGCTAGAAGCGAGGCATGGGAGAGTGAGAAGGATGGGACCTACAGCTTACATTAGAATCTGAATATTATTACGATAATAATATTTGTCTAACAATTTGATATGTCCAAAATAACTCTACATCACCTCATTCAATTATCACCTGGAAAATTACAATCGAACAATTATTCCAGTGACAATATATCTGAGTATATTTTCCTATCATCTAAATATAGGAAAGTGCAGATTTCTTGCTTCTTCCGTAGATATTGTATTTTTCAAGAATGAGGCATGTTTCATACGAGAAGGTGTATTCAACACACAATATGCACATTTGGACCGATGAAAATCTATATGCATGAGAGACTTCAATAAGGCGAGTTTTTTTGTTGCTGCCTTGTTATCTTCAGCTTCGTTTCATTCTTTTGTTTATAGAGCTACATGCAAATTCAGTAACGTGCTGAATTAGTGCATTCACTTTTTCGTACAGCGGAAATCAAATTACTATGTGAAGATTCTTGTTCCCCAGGGAGTCGAAATATGATGATTTTAATTTGTAGGAACCAGTATTTTGAATTCATCCGTAATTCCAACTCTATTCGGATATTATCTTCACCATTAACATTAACAGAACTTGTGAGGAAAAAATACGATATGTAGGGATTCACTGGCTCATTATGAAACGGTAACAATTCTGAACATCTAAACATAATGCAACGTGTTTTGGTAACTTACATATACAGTGTGTCCACGTTGAGGACTTAACCACCACTATATAAAATCGTTATCATCTGACCGATTTCGAAAACTTTTTTGTTGTTGGATAGGTGTTCGAAATGTCCATCCAACAAAAGAGTTATTTAATTCTTGGACTATTATCGTGGCCAACTGCAACCAATTTAAATGACCCAAATTTCAAAAATTAGTGATAGAATTATTTTTCACAAGAGATAATGATGGATTCTGAATCAGGATGACTTGGAATATACCTGTACTGATTTTCATCGTCATAAAACACAGGGTGTCCAAAAAGCGAATTATCATTTTTTTGAATATGTGATCAGAAAATGTAGTACTGTGGTATTTTCGGATAGAACTGAAGAGAAATCAGTTTGCAGGACTACTCCGAACATATCTGTCCTGATTTTCAACATTCCAATATAAAATGTGCTTGAGAAAAAAAAAGTACTGATGAGGGCCGAAAGCCCAAAATACATGTCTGCGGTCAACTCTTCATGAGGGCTATGTTCAATAATTCATTCCCACATACTATATGTATGTACATATACGTCAACGTCAAATAATATTAAAACCTACTGTTCTCGAGCATTGATTAAATTTATTTAATAATTGAGGTTTTTTCGATATCGCATATTATTTTTTCAACTCCTGCTTCTATGTTTCGAATTTTTTATGGATTCCCACAAAATTGATCGAAATAGTTTCTTCGAGTCCATGAGTAATTCGGAGAAAAATTTCACAGCGTAATGTAAACAGAAGCCCTGAATAATTCCTTTGTCAAAGAAATGAACTAACTGAAAAGCGTGAATTCATTCAATGATGAATTCCACAACAAAAACAAAAGTTTGATTTATCTACATCCAAATTGAGCGCATTTCAGTTTCAAAGCTTTCTTGCTCGAAGAGTCGTGGCATATCGATTGGTCAATCCATCGAAGGAACTTTTTGTTACAAGGAAATCTCGATTTGTTTCCTTCCTGCACTAGAGTGTGAACAGTAAGAAACGAGTCAAATTCAACTAAATAATTGAGGCACGCTATCGTACCATTTTCTCGCAATACCAATTTCATGGGTACATAGCTATAGTAACAAGACCAAATTTCCACTCATAGTATCATGATCCAATCAGAACAATTTTCCGATGAAAAAAAAATTGAGTAATTAATTTTTTAATGTATGACAAATAGATATTCATCATACAGGACGTGGAAAAATATGTTCTGAATTGAGAAAACCTAATCACGATTGAGCTTGGCAAGCCGAAAGAGTCTGTCTTGCATGAGATAGAACGTTCACTTTGTATTCAATGCAATGGATCGATGACAATGACAAATGACGAAAATATCAACCAACCACATAAATCAGCTCACTGAAGTAGGTCACTGATTGGGCACTGGATTGGGCTCTTGTTGTTGTTATAATGATAATAATAATAATAATAATAATTTATTCATCCATGAATAATAACATCATTCACATTGCATGTTTTTAAACTCTATGAATAAATCACTAATCCATATAAGGATAACCTTGATCATGGATCATAATCATTCGGTCCAGAAACAGTGTATTGGTGTGAGATTGTAATAATGTTTTCAATGAATAATTAATGCCTGATAAAAAATATAATATAACAAATAAATTATAATAGAATAAAATATATAAAATGAAGTAGATTGAAACATAAAATGAAATGAATTGAAAGAATATAACTAAAATATAAATATGAATAAAAAATTGGGACTCATCTGATGTATATGGTAATTAACAAGTTCAAATAACAGTATAATACAAAAAAAAAAGAATATTCAACAATACGAGAAAATTGTGATGTTTAAAAAAAAAAATTGAAGTGATTGTGATGAATTTTATGAATGAAAGAAGCGTCCACTCAGAATATTTTTTGATCTATCATTCTATGAATATCATTCCGTGAAATCAGATTGAGACAACTTCTCAATTTTTATTTGGAATGTATCGAGGAGAAATAAATAATTGATTAATTGTAAATAGGTACCTTTCTTGAATTTGAAGTAGGTAAGTACCTAATTTCTATCTATGATTCATCTTTATAACACATGATGAATTTCTTATTATATAATGACAAAGTGACCAGTAAATAATAAAAACAACTGACGAACTAACATCTTTCATGCCATGATAAAGTAACCGTGACATCATAATAAAGTTGACCTGGTTTGCCTAGTTAGGTTCGAGAAAAAATAACCAAATTATCCATCAGGACAAAACTGTCATATATATCCTTGGAATGAATAAGATAGTCAACTGCGATCGCCCTATTTCAATATCGAACCCTTTCAGAAAACTGCTTGGTAACGTCTCACGAAAACTTATGTCAGGAAAGAAAACTTTTTCCCTCGGTAGGCAGGATTAAAAACGAGTGAAAGGACTTTTCATGTCGCGCTTTATTTCACTAACCGGATCATTGAGCTACTGAAACCTCTTTTTCAGCATTGCTTCGCAGAACTTGGGAGTGTTTAGCACTGAACTGGCACAAATAAGGCATTTCATGCAAATCTCTATTCGAATTTATCTGTTTCAGTATACAGTTGGAAATCAGGAGTCAATGGAAATCATGCAATGTTCTTGACCACATGGATGACCGTTGTTTTGGAAGGCCTCAATTTTTTATTTTTTTTTTATCGCTTGAAGCGCACGAAAGGGAATCCCTATAATGTTCAAAGAACATCGCGCGTTCCTAGGGAGGATAGGGATAGGAGGTAGGTATTGGAAGATCTGAACATTGGTGAATTGAAACGATTCAAATTAGATCCTAGCAGTACTATTCGAGAAAGTAATAGTCATGCAGATATATTATTCCAAGCAAATTCACCACAATTATTGAAATTCCAGCTATTTTTTGTGTACGTTACGTATGGCCTGATATTACAATATTGCTATTAATTTTTAATCTTTTATATAAGATCTACTATCAGTCTTTACCATCGTTCATATAACCCCTGACATGACAAGAAATTTCCAATATTATTAAATACAGCATTACGAAAGCTTAATTTTTACGCAATTGGCAATCTTGGAAAGAGTGAATTACACCTTAATGCAGTCAAGATTGAAGCAGCTGTATACAACATTATCTTATATGAGATTTTGTCTCTCTTATAAGGAGAGGATAACAGTATTACGTCCTTATATATGAGGATCAAAAGTTCTAGAAATCGCAATCCGTTCATATAACTATGCTTCCAGGCGCAGACAGCCCTGATAGATTTTCCCAACGATGTTTGTCAATATTGATCAGTATGATTCAGACACTCAGCGAACACAGGCCGTCTTTTCTAGTCTTTTATGGGCTGTTTCATCATGAAATGCTTCAGTAGTTTCATACACTTTCGAGAATCCACTCAGGAGCTTTATCATGTCCTGAAGATAATAGAAATTAACTCACCTGTACTTCTAAAGCGTGGTAGGCCACTATGAGGCCAAGTAGAATCACAGTCGACACAGATATCAGGGTTTTGAGCGCAATTGAGTAAAATTCGTCCTGAAACACAAAATTCATGAGTTGTTGATATGGAAACGAATACACCCCTCAAATAACACGGTGTTATGAACGTTTCTCGAATAATATCAGATTTCAAAAATATTAATATTGGATGAGTAGGTGAGAAAATACAGTGTTCGAATGAAAACTGGATTCTTCGAGAAAGCCAATGAATTTCACTCATTTCACTTCAACATCGTTGTCTGATGCCTGATGATTTCAAGGTGTGGTAATTGAATATTCAAAATTTTGGTATTTCCTGAATGAAGGAGAAGTTATTTTCCTACTGAATTTTAACATGTTCACAAAAAGTATTCAGTGAAAACTTGAAGAAACTGAAAACTTCTGTGCATTGTGGATGGTGTCTGTTAATAATTAGTATTTCTCTTGAGTACATAACATTATTCATGTACTTGATTATAGGTTGATCTGATAGCTAGACCCTATAGTAACGTTGTCACCTGGATATTTCCGGGGTGTTAGCGCATCAAGATCAAGTGAAATAACCTCACTTTTCGATAAACGCCGGCACTTGACAGTTCGTTCTCTATAACCATAACGATGATTCCGAACATGCCCATCACCAAGGCGTAGTCGCTTATGCGCTTGCGCTTTTCGAAGAGCGCTTTGCGCCTGCCCAGTCGGTACCCCACATTGGGCTTGTGCTTCAGGCTGCCGGAAGAGGCCTTGTATCCTGTCCCAAGGCCGCGCTCCTCCATGAAGCGGGGGTAATCCACGTGGCCTGCCAGGGCCACGGGTTCTTCCGGCTGCATCCTGCCAGAGTCCCTGCTGGAGTTCTTCACGGCACCCGGAATGGAAAGGGTCGACACTGGCTTCCGCAGCTGTAAAGGAGAGGGATGAGCACCATTGAGAAACGTTGGAGCAGGCGTGGGTACACCAAGGACACGGGAATAGAATTAGAATTATAGAAGCACTAACAATCAAAAACGTCCACTGTTCGATCTGAATTGATCTCTAGGTTCGTAGTGTTGAGGTACGTCCACACCAAATACATGAACAGGAACATTTCATTGCTCTAATGCTTGTTGCTCTTTTGTAAATACGTTGGGTCAGCTATGGCATCGTCCAGAGGTCTTCAGATTTTCTGTCTGTTGACTACATTCCACCACTGTTTAAAGTGAGTCTGCACCCGTTTCTATTGTCTTGAACAGGTTGGGACAACCGCCAATCATAGCCTGCCTCTGTGTCTTCCTTTGGTGTAGACGAACTCTCAAATCACTCATAGGAAACATAATAGAATACACACTTTTAGATCCTCCACACATGTTTGTACTACAAGAAACATTCCTGACTGTGGTATATGCTGAGTCACCCAACGCCAGTTTTCTTTATATGACTCAATACATAATCTAGGTATATTTTCTAGTCGGTCATATAAGTAGTTTCATCGAATTGAACATATGGGTTATGAGGATTTTTACCTTTGGTTAATAGGCTATCCATCAATAATTACATTGTCGGAGAGTTCAACTTTGGCAGATGTTTCGCAATAATGCAGAATTGATAAAGATCTGATCACTGATATCGATGATGTGCAGCGTATCAACTGAGAATGAAAAAAATACTAATTTCTCATGGTCCGTTTTAGTTTACTATGAAGGCACAACTACGATCATGAAAATCACATGGATTTGAATGATTTGAAATTGCTTCGAATATGGAATTGTGATTCTGATTGTTAGGTTTTCTATGAACGGTGATCGAATGTCACCAATTGAAATGCAGCATATTATAGTGGACCCAGGTAATATAGCCAGAATAAACAAACAGTTCAATGCATGGGTTCACCATGATATATTTTACTCTTCTATTGATGCGATCATCATTCTAATCTATTCACCGTTCACTAAGGAAGCTAAGTGAGGTTCATTTCTTTCACGTTTCATTCCCACAGAAGGACTTTTCTTTTTGGAGTGGAAAATAGGTTTCCGGAATTGAAGCTAGCCGACAATGATGTGCATAGAGACGTAGGTTATTCACTCCATTACTCTCTGTTCAGTGACAATAACTGACATCTGACCAAAGAGACAATTTGGTATTGAACAAATACGGAGTTGCAACCGAATTTAACAGTCCACATAATGTACTGGGCTGACTCAGTAGAAAGGGTCATGAAAAATTTATTTTGAGGTGATTGAGAGGTATTGACCAATGCCAAACTATTATTGAGGTAAGAGTAGGAGAATCGAATCACTTACTTATTTATCCAATCAGATATGAAGAAGTTTTCATATTCAACTCATTATGATAAATAAGTAATTCACCTCTCACGTCATATGGCCAGTTACTCATAAGAATTAGATCAGACGCTCGTTGATAGTGTTGTTCTGAAATAATAAACACGGTTCAATCCCGAAAACTATTCCCATATTAACCAATTCTCACTGCGTATTCACAGAGTCTATCTTGGTATATTTGTGAAAGTGGACATCTCAGATCAGAAGGTTAATTTTTTTCCCTATTTGGCTACTTTTTATTAGGTCACTTCTTAACAAAAGTGCTGAGATAGTGTATAGTCAACAGTTGAAGCGAAGTCTTCATTTAATCAAATTTAAACTTGCGTCACCCAGAATGATGAGGCTGCCAGAATCTATAAGTTAATACGGCCAAGAAATTCCTAACAGATCGAGAATGTGCATGCTAGGTACTGGTCTCTAGAATATCTGAACAAAGCCACAATCCCAGATATTTCCATACATCCAATATCTCAGTTATGCTGCTTGTGAAAAAAAATTAAAAAATACACTTTTGTCAAATTCATAATATGACTTTGAAGCCTTTGTGTCGAAGTCAACCTTCTTCAAACAACCCCTGAGAAGCCACCTCTAACTTCAAGTATTGAAGTTACACCCTCCACATTTTTTGATACGATGTATTACACTTTATATTTTGACAAGGATGATAGATCATCCCTTTCGTTATGTTTTTTCTGACAGTTATTCGTACACGCGTTTTTCAGTCAGTTTCTTGACAAAGATAATACTACAAAAATTGTCAATTGGACAAAACTCAAATTTTCAAGTGTGATACATCGTAGAATTGATTGAACTTCACAAATCAACGAAAATGTATAGGGTGTATTTCGAATAATGGAAGTTGGGATGTGCTTTTCAGGAATATTTTGAAATAATTTCGAAGTTATTTGGGTTTGACAAAAGTGTAATTTTTCAATGTTTTTTCCAAGTAGCATAACTGAGATATTCTGGGAAACCCGGTAGATAGGAAAAGAGCTACCTTCTGAATATTATCTTGAACTTTTTCGTCACAGGTATAGATGAATGACAAATACTATACAAGGTGTTTCCCATATTGGGGCGATGAATGAGGTGGGTAACATAAAGAGATAGAACAAAACGAAATGAAGGAATACATTCCTGTCAAGAACAAATTATATGGAAGATGTTGAACTACGAAGTTCGTCTTACAATTTTGTGAATCAGTATCGCTTCAACTTCAAAAACACCCTATATTGTTCTCAGCCCTACCACCAAGAATATCGCAAGGACCAAACTTCCGTAGACCAGATTACTCTATGAATACAGCGTATGAAGCGATATTTCCAGAATATATTTCGCCATTGTAGAGTTTCATTGCAGTCGTGACATCTATGGAGAAATTTACTGGGCAGTGAAAGAGATGAATCGGCATAGGTTCCTTATAAGTACTTGGTGTTTTATGATTCCCATGAAAATGTCTACTCAATTTTGATGTACAAGCGCACTGGCCAAACAAATGATACTATAACTGCACAATTCCGATTGATTGTAGTAGTTTTCGTCTACACTAGTATTGATCATTTGACCTTCATTAATGGATAGGGGGATTCTAGCTAATTATTCAATAATTTTGTTATATGAATATGAAATGACAGATGTGACGGCATCTCAACGTGATTCGTGTATCTTTGATATAAAGATTTCCAGGAAATTTCACTAACTTGCTGCAAGGCTGCAATAGCTATCTACTATACTATTTCCCCAGTTTCAATTCCTGCTACCCTTGTTTCCAAGTCATCGGCTACATGTCAAAAGTTGATTTTTTTCAAATTAATCGCCGGAAAGAGGCTTATTTCTTTGAATTCCAAATGGGTTCAGGGAGGAAGTTGTTTCTATTCAAATGTAACATATACGTGTCTCGACTACCTATTACATCTTTATGTTCGTGATATTTTTTGATTTCTTTCAATTGTACCTCCGACAAAACTGTCCTAATCTTTCGTTAGATACGTAAAGTATTTCGATGATATTTTGATAGATGACTTTGGATGATGAATGGACTTTGCATCAAACATACAGAAATTTGAAACATAAATTATTATTTTCTGGAGGAAATCATATCTTTGTCGACAATTAGTGATTGAAGCTTGAGCATGATGAAACTACTGAAATAGAATAGTTATGTCGGTATTAATGTTTTCTATCATTACTGACATTTCTTAGAAATTGAAAAAGTATCAAAAACCAAAAGTTACAATAGAACGTTCAAATTTGGGAAACCTATGTGAAATTGGAATAATAATAGATAACAATTAATAAGCCTATTTAGCATTTAGTTTGAGAAAATGTCACTTTCAACACGTACGTATTCGATTTTACATAGTTTTTGAAGCCGAATTCATTAAGATTTTTTCCCATATGATGCCAACTTCACGAAAGACACTGTACATATTTCGGTTGCAAGAAACTAAGTTGAGAACCAGTTAAAACCAATGAATAGGTGCTTATATTCATTGTTAGAGTCCAAATCAGTAAAGCTTCTTATCTTCACCTTGTCTTCTGAATAAGTTTACCGCCGAATGCTTTTCCTTTGTAAAATCTCATATCCCTCGCAGTTTTTCTGTAATTGTTTGCGTTATATTCCATCTTTCCCAAGAGACACCAAAGGACTTCACAGTATCCGCATAAAGGATTGATAAAATAAAGAAAAACAGAGGCAATATGTTTGTCCAGCAAAGCTTGGTTACGATGAATGACATTCTGGATGAACTCAGTTGAGAGGATCAAGTTCACTGTTTGCTTTATCATCTCTTACTGAACATACTCCGAATTTATACTCGTTTTTTCATGATACAATATCACAAAGCTCCGTTTGACGAAGACTTATTTATAGCATTATAAACTGATGGAAGATACGTTGCTACAAATATGGGACGTTCTCTTGATGGACCTCTGGGGAGAAATAAAATACCCTGGGTCAGCGCAAAATACTATGAGTAGTGGTTGGGATCACCAGGGCCGACCTTTATATTTGAACTGAACTCCTCTCGAGTAATAAAATGAAAGAATTCAACCATTTATTGAATCGCGAATTCAGTGTAAACATTTTGAGAAAATGATATCATGTTATCAAACGGTGAAAAATTCTATTGAGTGGAGCTTTTCGTCATAATATAAATGCACAATTAGTGTCATCAAGAACTCACATTTTAATGAATGTCAGTCAATATTGTGTACATGATTTCTCAAAATTTGTTTTACTTCTGAGCCGTTTCGTGTCAGTAGAATCCAAAGGGTAGCAATAAAATGATTAGGTACACAATTCGGTGTGGACCTGGAGTTAGAATCAACTCAACAAATTTTACCGTATTTCATTTAGCTTAGATTAGATTTATTCAGTGAAATTTCTTGTACATTGAAACAACACGTACGTATACTGTATTGATCTTAATATATGGATCGCCTTCATATTATTTTCCCACATAGTCTAGACAATGTGAACTTTCGTACATCCCAAAAGAAAGACAGCTCCGAGACCTCTGAAATTTCTCTACGTCTCAATTTCATTGTAATTACTGAGAAAATCTGCTGACCACATCCTCTGA